ATATATATAATCAATGGATAAAAATGATACAAATCTTATTATGAAAGCTGGTGTTATAGATAGACTAGTCACAAATGAATAATAATTGATAACTGATAAATATATAAATATGTGTTGGATAGATGACATGAGACTCTATATAAATGGTGAGTGAAGACTATGAAAGGATGGCACAAATGATTGGTAACTGGCTGACACACGGTTTAAAATGGAAGATGGTTTTTATGTTTTGTATGCTCTTGTTTGTGTTTGTTGTAAAAAATAAAAAAATTATATAAAAAAAAAATGTTTACAGTGTCTCTTACAGAATTTCACTGGCACTGTGTCTTCATCCAGAGAAATCTAATCTGACCGAACACAGATAAATGTAGAGCAGCTTCCCATCACCTGATGCCATCGAAGGGCGCCCAGCTACTGTCATTCCTAGCCACCATGGTCAATGTTTTTGAGCTTAAAAGGATACTGTGATGTGCCAATAGAGCAAACACAGCAGATCAGCTCTTACTACACTAGGAACTGTTGCTCTGTCTCCACTTACTGATCTAGCAGAGCCAATCAAAAGTCTGCGTACAAGGAGGGTTGATATGGAATTATCTTATATGGAATCAGTCCACTGGCCTGTCTAGATTAATACGGACCGGTAGCAGTTCTTCAGGGTTTCACAAAGGTGTCCTTCTGAGCCCCACCTAAGCATACAGATGAACAGCCAATCACTCATAGCTCTTCCAAGAGAAAAATTCTGGATGATCAATCATTGTAAAGAAGTAACTATTTTTTTTTACAGATCATCTCTGTAAAGCATTTTTACTGGTTCAAGAGCTACTTGAAGAGGACCAGGACCTTGTGGAAAATGCAGCTTTGCAGAGGGAAGATAGGAACTTGTTCCTAAAGCATTGGGTACTCCCTACAAGTCTATATACTGCTGGTATATTGCAAAAGATCAGCTGCTGTGGAGGAGGCCTATGCAGTATCCTTATAGAATCAACAAAAGCCTCAACTCTTGCAGTTTTACCATCCCCACTTCAGCTTTTTGTGAGCTGGGGCTGCAAATCAACACATCCTTTGTTCTTTAGAATGCAGAAGGTCAGCTAACTGGTCATGCAACATACTGTGATTTTTATGCTTCAGGGCACTGTGAAAGAACAGATCACACTTTTGCCAGGGTTCTTTCCAAGCAGATACAGGAAGAAAGTATTTTCATCTCATTCTGAATAGAAAGTTTCAACAGGAGGAGAAAAAGAGGAACAAGAGGAGAGAGGAAATTTGGGAAGGAGGTTGTATCATTCAATACAGTCCCAAGTCTGAGTAGCGCAAAGCTATCGATGCCTATCTGTCTCATAGTTCAACTGCAATGTTTTTTTTTTTTAAAGGCCTTCCAAGCAAGAAGAATCAAAGTCCCAACAGCTTAACACAGAATCAAAATGTAAACATTGAAAAGGAGTTTGGGGATCATCTGGTCAAATCCCTTGTCCAGTGCGGGAATCCACTGTGGTAGCATCCCAAAGAGATAGACATCCACCTCTACCAAAAGAAAAACCCCTCTCCAGAAACAGTCTACAGTATTGCATTGTTGAATAGCTCTTATCATTAGGAAATTCTTCCTGATCTCCAATCAAGATCTGCTTCCTTGTGATTTAAACTCACTGCTTCTTGTCTTTGGGTACAAGTCTACCTTGCTTTCTATGTGACGGTCCTTCAGATACTTGAAGACCTGTTGTCTTCCTGTTTTCTTCTCCAGGCTAACCATAGCTATGCCTCCAACTGTTCCTCATAAATGTTTCTTTTCAGGCCTCTTATTATCTTGATCGCTCTCCTCTGGTCTGCTAATTTTTTAGTGTCTTTCCTAAAATGCATTGGCCAGAATTGAACACAGTGTTCTAGGCATGATCTGAGCAATGCCCAGGACCAGTGGCTTCTTGTGATCTTGACTCTATACTTCTGTTGATGCAGCCTAGTATGGCATAGCCCAGCCCCCTTTTTTTCAACTTCTGTACTGAAATCTCATGACTTTGTCAAACATTTTCCAGAAGTCAAAGTACACTATGTTTACCACATTCCCATGATCAACTAAACGGTTCATTCTACCAAAAAAAAAAAAGAGAGAGAGATTGGGTTGACTTGATATGACCTGATAACCTCATGCTGGCTCCTGTCAAGCAATCATTTTTCTCTTCCCAAAATTCTCACAAGCCAATTGCTGAATAATCTGTTGCAGAGTTCTGTCCAGTATTAACTTCATGTCGATGGGTCTATAGTTACTTTCTCTCTCTCTTTTTGTTTTTTTCTTTTGGTGCCTTCAAGTCAGTTTTGACTCCTAGTGACTGCCTGGATAAGGCTCTGTGGTTTTCTTGGCAAGATTTCAGAAGTGGTTTGCCACTGCCTCCTTCCTAGGGTAGCGAGAGAATGATTGCCCCAAGGTCACCCAGCTGGCTTTGTGCCTAAACTAGGACTAGAACTCACAGTCTCCCAGTTTCTAGCCTGATGCCTTAACCACTACACCAAACTGGCTCTCTCTATAGTAACTTAGGTGCTTTTTTTCCCTTTAAGGTCCAAACAACACTTGCCTTTCTCCATTCCTTTAGCACTATGTCCATCCCCCACAATTTTAAACAATGACAGAAAAGGGTTCCAGGATGTCATCTTGTAAGCTCCTTCAAGACACTCATGTATAATTGATGTGGTCCTGGAGGCTTAAACTCATTCATAGTAACCAGGTGGTCCCTAACTTTGTTGGTTCTTGCTCCTTGTATCTCTTGTTCTGCTTATGTCATTAATCATAGAAGATGGAAAAAGTTGAAACTGAGGAGCACTGCCATCTCCCTGCCACCTAATACCATCCTACCATCTTCTCCAAGAAACAGGTCCACTCCTCCCTTTTTTCTTCTTACTAATGATATAGTGAAGTTTTAAGTTGCTTTTGAACCTAAGTTCTTTTTGTGCTTTAGGCTGACTTTCTTTCTACAGACATTTGCTACTTAATGGTATACCTTCTTGGTGATTTCAGCCATCTTTCATTTCTCATACATGTCCCTTTTAGCTTAGTTGAGAAGCCCCCTATGCCTCCACATTGGTTTCCTAAGCTGCCATTTTTTTTCCCTTGCATTGAAATGGTGCAAGATTGTACTTCCAGAATCTTATGTTCCCTTCTATAGTCTCTTCAAACCCAAGATGATATGGTCATTTCCTTGCAAGGTTCCCAAACTAGCCCTTCCCTACTGGATAGGATGAGATGTAGGAGAGCTGATCTTCTTGTCTCTACTTCAGTCTTCTGGAACATGAAGCGGTCAAAAAGACCACTTCTGGAATGTTTGAAACCTTGCAGCCTTAGATGATCTGTTTTTCTAACAAATGTCCAGTCTCCCATTATTAATATGTAATCTCTTCCATGAAAGTCCTGTAATCTGGCCCAGAAGGGCATTATCCAGATCTTCTGATTTAACACTCTGTAGCACAGCCCCACAATAGTACCATTGTTGGTTCTGCTCCTCTGTATTCTAACCCAAATGCTGTCAACTGAAGCCTTATGCTGAAATTCCTGGATCTCCATTTTCTACATCTAGGATTTCATATAAAGCTACTTACTCCCTTTTGTCTGACCTATTCCTTTAGAATAAATTATATCCTTGAATCGTTGCATTTCACTCATGAGTTTTTCCCTTCTGGTTTTAGCAAAGCCTACTAAGCAAAGCCACATACAAGTTTTATAAAAAAAATATTTTAAAATTACTTGTTAATCTTAGAAAAGTGAGATCACTACTAGGCTTGCTGCCATATCCTCCACTTAGTTCCCTATAATGCTACCGAAGTTCTGATCACTATTAAATGCAGATCTTTCTAGACTTCTATCAAGACCTAGAGATAACATTACACATGACTTAGGATTTCTTACATAAGCATCAGAAGAAGAGTAGCAGCATTAATTCTTTTCAAAATCTAAAGCCTAGCTGCTTCCACAAGTCTGTGAAGAGCACTGCTGCTAGCCAAGATTTTTTTCAACTCAATACAGGTAGCCCTCGCTTAGCAACTGCCTCATTTAGCGACCGTTCACAATTACGACAATGATGAAGAAGTAACTTTGTGACCAGTCCTTGCATTTGCAACCTTTGCAGGTCGGTAAAGCAAAGGAAAGCTAAAATAAAATCATAAGCAGAGTTGTAGTTTCAGTTAGCAACCACTTCACTTAATGACTGAGTTGCCGATCCCAATTATGGTTGCTAAACGAGGACTAACTGTAGTAGTAGTGCTCTCTGTATATAAACAATCAATTTTATAAAATTATCAAACATCAGCACTAGAGAATTTAAACTTTTATCAGGTACTGCAACCAAGTTCTTCCACCTTCACAAAGGTCATGGAAAAAGAAGAGTTTTAAGTGTTTTAAAACCTTGGGAATTGGCTCACCTTAGTGGACCTTTATGTAAGATAATCACTGAGAAATCCTGCCCACCACTAACTGGAACAAGTAAGTTGAATTACATTTGTCTGACAACACATGTCCTTGTTCTTGCCCCTCCCCTCTTCTCAGAAGGAACAAGCAGTTTTCCACTTGCTAGCCTTCTTTTGATGGCACCACAATATTTTCTCAAAATTCAGATATGGCCACTAGCCCCAAAATGTTCATCCAAATCATCTCAGAAAAAGCAAAGAGTTCATAAAAACCAGTTTTATTTAACACCATATATAAAAAGTTTACACTTAAAATTTAACTCTGTCCTGTCCAGGGAAGGCTATGGCTTCCAGTGACTTGTACCCTGAGTGCATGAATATCTCTGCATGCACAGAGACATAAATATACAAGAATTCTCATATCCCTATTCCAATAACCAAAACAACCCAGGAAAAGGTTCTTCCAGCACAGGGTCATAGATTCCAGCCTATATTCTAAACCAGTCTGGATAGTGAGTTCTGCATAATAAAGCAAAAATAGTCAAAAAGTTTCACAGATTTGCAGTGAGAGTTCCAGGCTCATGTTTCTGATCCATCATAATCCAGTTCTATGCACAGTCCAGAACCATCTAACTACTTTGCATAACTTCCACCACAATCTCCAGCAGCTGCTATCCAACAAAAAGTGACAAGTGCAGGATTAACCTTAACTCTGGAATCTCCTTCAGTACAATAGGAAGCGATCTGCCAGGCTGGCCTGACTCATCTCTTGGTTCACAGGATATGACCCATGCACAGTCACTGAAGACATTTTGCATACATCCAAGGGTCTATGATGTTGAGAAAGAGGATGGATGCAAATTATCCAGTTGCAGTTACCCAATGTTGCTAAAACTTCCAACCGAAGCAAAATTTAAAATTGTTATGAGCAACAAAGACTGGAAGGTGATGCAAGAACTATTCTTCTAATCCAAGAGGAACAGAAACACTGTAGTCAAGAGTTCTTCAATTCACTCTAGCACTTCTAGTACTGTCTTACGGAGAGCAATTGAGAACATTTCTTCCCAGGGCACACGTAGCCACTCCACCAATTCAGCCAGCAAGTCAGGGCATTCTGTTCGCAAATGCCAAGTGGTTTCCACTTTTAGGACCTGCAAAAGGAAAGATGGTGTTCAGTTTACTAGGAACTAGCCCCTAGACTAACCTCAGTTAGCAAGTCTCAGCTGGGAAGTGAAGTGTATTTCTCAATTCAAGTTCCATTCCAAACTCAAACGGAGCTAAATTTCCCCCGAGACCCTGATTCCCCCTGAATTATAATTTACCTTGGGCACAGTAAAAGATATGTAAAATTAAAGAGATAAATTAACCATGCAACAATGCTCATGTTCCTTTGACAGCCCTTTTTAATGGCACCCACACCTGTGAATTTTTTAATATCCCAGAAGGAAGCCTCATACATCATTTTTTACCTCATCATACAGTTGCAGCTTTACATCACAAGGAGAGAAACGGTAAAGTACTACACCACTGATGCTACTGATTGACTCATTTGCTTTCAGCAGGATGCAGTCCTTGGGCTGTTTCTCAATATCACTGCCTGAACCAGAAGAAGGCAGGACTTGTTGCCACTGATGATCTTCTTCCACCAAGAATATATTACTACGAGTGCTGAGCAAAGTCACAGGAAATGCAGAAGACCCTGGAAAAAAGAATTGCTTGGGCCACTTACAAAACTCCAATTACAAGACTATTGTACAGTTGAAAAAACAATGTAAGGAACACACAAACACACTAGTCTCCATACCTTGGATGAGGTATGTCAGTAAGTAGAAGAATGGTCTGGTTGAACCACTTGCAGCTTCTCTTGCAAGATCCTTGTCAATCAATGGCCTACAGCATAGGCACAAGTAATTAGCAATATATTGGTTAGTATATTCACCTTCACTTGCCTTGATCTGCCTCTTGTACAGGTTGAACCTCCCGCTACATATCCCAGGCATGTCACATCAACTCTAAGGCTACTTTTACTTGCACAGTACAAAGGCAATGAGCTTCTTACCATAATGGGTGCTGTGAGTTCATTTCTACTACAATGATTTCTGGGACTTTTCTCCTGCTTTTACTTGGCAATTCTTCTATGAGGTCTGCATGAAGACATTAAAGGAAGTCTTGATAACCTAAGGTGAATCTTCCAGCAAAGGGTGTGTATCAGGACTAGACTGTTGCCTCACTTCAACTGATTTTTGAAACCTAAACAGTTTACAGAAGTTCACTGATACCAACACTTGGTTAGCACTACTGTATCATACAAGCTATCTTCAGACAGACATTTCTCTCACATGGAACTGGACAAAAAGCTTAGATCATGAACGTAGCCCAATATCTTTTCTTACATGTCAAGCATTGGAGAAATCTTCTGCAGCGGCTCTGGTTGCGAAGTAGCAGTGTATAGGAGACACGGGGATTCACAAACTCCATATGTAAGCTTTGATGACATAATCCCACCTCCAAGCAAGAGAGATCAGACAGGAAGTGACAGTCTCCCTTCTTTAGCCAATCTGATGGTTGTCCCCTAGTAGATGAACCAAACAGCATGTCACCATCTAGCAAGGTGATGTCTACTCTTCCAGTAAAAAATAGAGGATGGTTTGTTTGGCAGATGGTAGCAGTGAGAAAGGTTCACTGCATTTTTATCAGTTTAGGAGGAGAATGCCTGCTTCTGCAACAAATCATTATATAAATGAGCTCTATATAAATGAGGCTCCTTGTTCTCCCATCCAAGGTATGGTAAGTGGTGATCAGACTCATAATTTTCTTAGTGCGCAATTTCCTCCTCAGAAAGGCTGGGTTGGCGTACTTAACATTCAGTGCCCCCCAAAATTGTTATTTTGACAGTTCTTCTGATACATTTAAACATTAAGGTGTTTGGTTTATTGGAATTTTATCTTGTTTTGAAGACTGCTCTGAAGAAAGGTATAGAAATTAAAAAGGAGATGAGAGACAGCTCAGTAATATGGTAGTTGTTTTCTATGAATAAAAATCCCAGTTCAGTTGTTAGCACCTCCTATTAAAAAATCTCAGGAACCAAGGGATGAAAAAGACCTCTTCCCCATGATTACAGTATCTGATTCAGCATAATAGAGACAGAGACAGACTGATTAGTTTTAAGACTCTAGTAGCTATAGCATTGTCAACTACCTTCAAGACACACTTCTAAGCATAGAGATACATCCCTAAAACAGCACTACTCACCTTATCTCTCCAGTTACCTCCAACACATGAAGTTGGACATCTGAAGCCACCAAGAGCACTAGGAACTCCCCAGGCCGTCCATTTTTCACAACTGCTACCTAGAAGGAGCATGCTAAAATGATTATGCCACAATAATTCCAGGTATGCTCCCAATAGCAACCCTGTGGAGAACTGCTTTTCATACCTTGAGAAAACATTTGAACTCTTCTGCCTTCTCAAAGACTTCCATATCTAAATAAAGTTTTAGCCGATGGTCCACAGAGAATAAGTCTCGCATGCCCAACATACTGTTGGTGGCTAAGAAAGGAAAGCGTTAGAGTTAATGAATTGGTTTCAATGGGTTGAGTGGTCAACAGCATCATTTAAGTTGACAGAGGGCTGTCATTTATTCCTACACCAAATATAATTACCAATTTTAGATCTTTTTCAATATGGCCATTAGTCCACTGCTTAAGTAAGAAGGGCTCAAAACTCCATTCAGTTAAACTGAGCGATGGCTTTTTGAAAGTGAAACTCCCCCTCTAGAGTGTGCAAATCTTCACTATCCAAGTCAGAGAAGCTTTTAGAAATATATGAAGCCATCACATCTCATTCAGAAAGATGCAAATGGCTGCCCAGTCAGATCAACACAAAACAATACCATCCTATGTGTATGTAGATGCCCTCCGCTCACAGTTCTGCAATAATGGATGTTTCTGACACATCAAAATTATGCCCTAAAACAAAGCATATTTTGTTACACTTGGAAACAGAGACAGATCCAAAGACAAATGCAGTAATAGTTGCACTCTCATTTTCTAAGATAACATATTTCTAAGTTAATGGCAGGGTACAGTAATAATACCACTGATCCGTTTTCATTAATTCAAAAAGCTGATCTGCTCTATTAACTACAAAAACTCTATTCTCAAATATAAATCAACTTTCCCTCCTTTTTTTTTTTTAACGCTGTACAGGTCTCCCTGAAAACCTCTTCCAGTAATCCCTCCAGCTTTTCTTTTCCTTGTTCACAGAACTGTCTGCACTCCATCTCTACTATCCTCTTTTGCTTCCTTAGTTTCCACTGTCTTTCCCTCTCAGATCCCACCACTCCCCCACTGCTGATTTCCTAAATGAACTTCATAATAGACATTCACTTCATAATTAGACATTCACTTCTGCAGAAGTTCAGACTAAAGAATTTTCCACATACAAGGCAGATGATTTTGGTTTGTGTGACAAATTCAAAGATGCATTTCTCATTCACACTTTTTTTAATGTAGACTTGCCTAATGCAAGCATGCCTAATTTTCTTTTTTGTAGTTTTAACCTCCTTTTGTCACTACCAATGTACATATAATTACTATTAAAACTTTAGCAGTGCTTTACACCACATAGTGAGCAAACTTCTTGGCTGCATTCTAAGTAACAACTGAAAATCATTAGACTTTTAAAATAATAGCCATACAATGCCTTAACTACCAGCAGGTGGTGCTCCTGTTCTATAGCTGATGCAAAATAATCCTCTATTTACATAGGAACACAATGTTGGGGGTGCTTGGAGGGAAGCAATTTAACATGTGGATTAAACTGACTCTGGGTAGAGGATCTTGCTTATATCACTATTGCTTCCGATGTCCATCAACTTCCCATAATTTATACCACACCAAGGCCCACATCAGATGTTAGTAGCTACTCACGGGGACTAAGGTTCCAATGCTCCTCTTGCTCTGAGCTCATGGACAGCTGGGAAGGGGTGCGGCCACGGGAAGTACCATAATGGTAGCTTCCCATCAGGCTCCCTCCATTGGTATCTGTGTGGCTGAGGGAGGAATATTGACTCTTGGAGTTCAGATCCCTCCTGGAAGCATCAGCTCCTTCAGAACTGCGAGAACTGGAATGTGCTGTGCTGCCATGATCATTACTAAGTTCTTGAATTTGGGTACTGGAACTGGTTCCTGCTTCAGAGTTACTGTCATCACCAATGTAAAATTTTCTGGACTCTGCCTCCTGCTGGCTTTCATTGAAGCAATCCTGAGAGAGCATTGGTGCATTCGAATGCCTATCACACGGTAAGATGACCACATGATCACTAGAGCAACCAGGGCAGATAATGGTCTCACTGGAAGCAGCAACATCTGAAGAGAAAAGAAAACCATTTTTTTGCATCACCAACTTAGTCCAATAAATCAAACACCAGGTTCTTTTCCAAAGCTTCCTTGTCCAACCAACCTCAGGACCTATGAATCAGCCACCCTGCCTTTTCCTCAGAGACATTCCGCATCCTCTTCTTGAATCTCTGGCTAATTATTTCAAGAGTGCTTTACAGCGTTTTCACGTTAGCCTTTTACATACAATCCTGAACAAAGAACTTTTTTCTTAGAAATCAAATAGAGTGTCAGAGTATTTTTCTTCTAAAAGGAATCCATTCAAATGTTGCAGAAAATGAGTATATCAAATAATGCAATATTTTATCTCAGATGGAAAATAAATATAAAACCAGACAAAAATCTTATTCTTATACTTCACTACATTTATATCCCTCTTTTCTTTAGGAGCTCAAGGTAGCTTGTTTTGGAATCTTCCTTTGTTTTATCTTTTAATAACAATCCTGTGAGGTAGGTTGAGCTGGAATGACTGGCTCAGAGTCATCCAGTGAGTTAACATAGTTGAAAGTGGACCTGAAGCTGGGTCACCCAGTCCTGGTCCAACACTTTAAATGTTATTCCATCAGGTGTTGATATGTTCAGAACACAATACAGAATCAATGCATTAAAAAGCAAAAACCCTCCCTAATATAGGATATTAAATAAACTCAAAGGTTCCAGATCTCTAGGGATCTAGAAAGTATAGTTACAAACAAACGTTAATGAGAAACCAGCCTAGCAAGTAATTTCAGATTCAAAGAAGAACTGTACATGACTCTTGTTATCTGTCAGACCTCCTGTCTCACAAGACATTTTACATTAAAAGACTAATTTTTTTAAAAAAATGAAAAGGTGGCATACTGCACAGCAAAGCACCAGCTTAATTTTATTTCTAAATATTAATCTGGGGCTTAAATGGGCCTCATGCTTTCTTGGAAAATAATGATGGGTGGCAGCAACTCAGTGGTTTGTTTAGAGTGTGTCTATTTCCCCAGATCTTTGTATACAGAATGCTAATTATTTCCTAGTATCTCATTCTTGATATATAAAGTTTAAGCAGAAGATGACTTTTGGGAATACTATGGACAGCCAAGAAAACAAACAAATGAATCATTGAACAAATCACCCCAGAGTTCTCACTTGAGATACAAATGACCAGGCTCAAATTATCCCACTTCAGATACATTATGCAAAGACCTAGTCTCCGAAGAAGACTCTAACGCTAGGAAAGGTGGAGGAAAGAGAAGAAGAGGACGATGAGCAGCAAGGTGGACGGACCGAGTTACAATGGCAATGAGAGCACCATTGGAAGACCCAAAAGATGAGTTAAGGGACAGATCGTCATGGAGAAAATCTATCCATGTGGTCACTAAGTATCAACAATGACTTGATGGCACATAATCAATTTCCACAGAAAAAGGACAAAGATAAGCAGGGATATGGGTGATGTAGTATTTTGCTACATCATCTGCAACACATGCTCAAAATTCTAAGAGAGCTCTCTAGGCTTAAAGGGTTAGTGGCTGTTGCCATCAGTCACTGTTCCCTCACTCCATTATTCCAACAGCACAGAGAGGAATCATGTTGTAAGATGCAGGATTTTAGCCCACACCATACCCCATACCTTGCTCAGAGAAAGCTATACTCTCTTTTGTAGAGACCTGTCTTTGTAACTGAAGTATCTGGAACCCAAGGAACTCCTGTTTGCATTTTAGACACTGGAGCTTTGGACCTTCTGCCAATCCTCTGTTCTTCCTATTTTTCTCCAGGGTAGGTGCCAGCACTCTGAGCAAATCCTGGAAAGAGTGGTAAGACTTGAGTAAAATACAAGGCAATAACTACCATATTTCATGTACTATATGATTACATTTTATAACAGCTCTGAATAAAGAATGCATTCTATTGGGGAAGAGGGTAAAGGATACAAGTGTAAATACTGTATTAATGTCAAAATAAATTCCAGACAGAAAAACGCCTTGTTTACAGAATTTGCTCAACAAAGTGTGAATGGTCATAATTGCCATAGATGGCTTCAAAGAAGGATTAGAGAGACGCTTATCAGTTATTACAGGACCAACATGCAGTATGCACAAGGTAGGCAGACAGGGAGTTAAATAGTAGAACATTTTTGTCTTCACTTCCTATTGTGGATTTCCCATTTGTCCACTGTGGATCTGAAGCAACTATGCGTCTCCCAAATTCAGTAAGATTCAGACTGCCCCCACTTTACTTTCTCTAAAAAAATGGGCAACTTTCCCTTCTAGAGTGGCTTTGTGCTCACCTGCATACGCAGTTCAGGATGGTCATCCAATACTACATAGCAACGTTTCTGACGGTCCTTGCAGATATAGTTGAAATAGAGGGTAAGAACAGGAAACTCACGCTCCAGGTCCTATTTCCAAAAAGAAATAACTTTCCAGTCAGAAGAAGATACTGACTCCAGTTTTAAAAAAAAGCCATAATTAAGTATCAGTATAGATATAAGCTATTCAAAGTTCAGGGAGCAGCAAAAAGATCAGTGTTGCAGCTACTCACTTTTCCTATGGATAAGAATGTGCTACTCTGTGCCTGACTGCCACCCAATATCTTGTCTGTGGCTGTTATAAATTAAGAATTTGTATTATACATTTTGCTTCTGCCTGCATTAATAATGACTAGCAATTTTACCTCCTCAAGGTGAAAGAAAAGTTTCCCAAACTGACGATTTCTGTTTCCAGTTTCCAAGTACTTACACACTGCCTTTCTGTGAATGATACACAGTTCATTATGTCTCCAAGAAAGTCCACTTTTAAAAAACCCAGACAACTGAGCTGTATGCATTCTAATCATACTTCCAAATAATATGCAGGCCACAAAGCAGATCTAAGCTATTGCAAAGCCCAAACTCACTTTATGGATGTCAAACTGTCAGGGTTTAAAGATGTGCCAAGAAGCAGCACTGAACAGCAGGTGGGAGGAGCCCAAACCATAAAGGCTTTCTCTACAGCTTCCAAATTCCTACAGCCACCTATGCAGAAACTGCCAGGTTTAGCTATGAACTTCCTAGTTTTAGCTCTGAATTTCCTAGTTCTAATGCAATCAGTGGAAGTGAGGAAACTAAATCTTAGGCAGAAGAACGTGAAACGCCAAGGAAGGAACAGCTTCCCTTCAAGAAGGAAAAGATTTTGATTAAGTCCTGCAGTATCTACATTACAGTGCAAAAATGAGAGGTAAGCAAGACAGCGAACCTATATACTGAGACCATTAGCTCAGCACCACTGACTGCTCTAGGGAGTGCCTATAGGTTCACAAATTACTTGGAGCCAAAACTAACTAAACGACAAAACTTCTTGATTCACACAAAATAAAAGCTGTAAGCCACAGCTTACTAACCACTAGGGCCAGATACACACAACTCGCTACGCCAAAATCAAACCAAACACAGTACAGCTGAGCTCAGCATGCGAACCAGATCTTCTGCAGGTATTCCCAGAATTGCAAATCCACGTACAGATCCAGTTAACCATTGGGCAGTGACAGTCTGGGCTGCATGATAGTCAGCTTATTAGACTAAATCTTGCATGGAAACAGTTGAAATCACCTTTCTTCTCCAGCGCATTTCTGAAGTCTCTACTTTCTGAAGACTTTGTAGTTCCAGCCTGTGTAAAACCTTGGCTGCTCTCAGCTCCACCTCCATAACATGTTGCGCAGTGACTCGCAGGAAGATCCAGTCTGGCTCTGGGTCGCCATCGCCCTCTATCTGGCTTACTAGCACAGGCTGGCATAGATCCACTGCCAATAAAAATATACGCATTAGCTTCCTCTGCATCCTATTCAGTTTTAGCAGATAAGAATGCATGAAATCCCAGATCTTTAAAGCCTATCCACAGAAATTGGGGGGTTGCAAAGACCATGGAAAATGAGACAGCTTTGAAATTTAACAACGATATGTGATGCAATCAAAGATACTTTTGTGACAGACACAACATGATTTTGCTTGTATTACAATGCTGACTTTGGGGTATTACCAATGTACTTGGAAATTGCATGACAGAAGGAACTAGACTCCAAAAACTGGTTTCTAACAAATAGTTTCAATATCTTCATTTAGTATGACTGAACAAGAGCATTCTTTATAAACAGCAGAGGAAAACTGCAGCTTCATTTACTCTGTAAGAAATATCCCAAAGGCAAATAAGATCAAAGACACAATTTGAGATCTCTTTTAATGAAAGTAAAGTATAAACAGCATTAAGTTTTGCATTTCTCACAAAGTGTTATTTGCTTGTATGGGGTGTGTTGTCCTTCAAAGTGCATCAACAACACAACATGATTTGTTGAACGAAGATTTTTTGATAAGCTGACAGGATTTGACAACCCATGTTCTCTGGCTGTGGAACTTATTTTTAGTTTGTTTGGCAACATTTGAGATCCTGCCATCACAGATGAGGGAAGCAATAAAAGCTCACTTGCAGAACATTCTATTAATAACAGTGGCAGATTCCAGAAATTGAGAGGAACACATTTACACTTAGTAAAGGAGCAAAGAACTGAAATCCTCACCTGGTCACAAACTATCACCATCTTGGTTGTTCACAACCGTTTACTTCAATGGAATTAAAACATACTAGACTTCACTAAAATGTGTTTTGTGTAAAGTGTTTAACAGGAACTGTTTGACAATTACAAGTGTTCCTCTAACAATGACCCAACATTAAATGTTAGATAGTCTTATTTCACAAGTTCTTGAATTTTGCAGGAAGCTACTATATACACTATTCTAGTAAACCCCTACAAATTCCCAGGCTTACAGGTGAGCTGTCTTTACTAGAGGATCACAGAACAAATTTCTCCAGAAGGACATCCATAATAAGAATAAGGGTATTTTTCAAATGGAGGGCTGCCCCCATCTCATATTCTCTGAGAGAAGAATAGAAGAAAACAGAATGGGAGAAAGTACTTATTTATTTATACAATTCAGAATGACCACAGACAAAGATGCTAAAAAACCTGAAAGCCTTTGAAGATTAGTTTCAATTGGAGCTGCTTGCCTGCTGAACTTCAATGTTGAATTTTAATTGTAGTGCTTAAGTCTCTCTTTTCTTTCCTTCCCTATTCAGTATCTCTTAATCTACCCCATCTCTATTCAGTTTTGTTCTTACACTCTTTCCTTCCCAGTGCAGCAATTTCTTTCCCTCATCCATCTCCATCAGCAAAATATGTGTGAGTGTACCTGTTTTTGTGTTCAAGTAGTGGGTACATAAGAGAGAATGTTGGTACATGCAGATAGGGATCAATCAATGTTATTTACAGGCAATTGATTCAATAGTTAACTCAATCAATATCTATTTGTTGTCCCTGTGCTGCTCTTTTCTGTGTGACTATATCGAGATAGACACATGCTTTTCAAAAATTTTAAAAGTAACAGTAGTTATTTCCATTTTGGTTCATGATTTCCCCCTCAAAACTTTTCCTATCATTTTAAAATTAGAATTATTTCAAAGCATCCATTTTTCATGATATCTAAAATCAAATTTTAATTTCTTTCCCAATAAGACCCAATGGCTTGAAACTCAACATTAAAAAAACTAAGATCATGGCATCTGGACCCATTAATTCCTGGCAAATAGAAGGGGTAGAAATGGAAGCAGTAACAGACTTCATTTATTTGGGCTCCAAGATCACCGCAGACGGAGA